TTTCTGTTTGTTTTCTACAGGTCATATGCCCTTTTTTGTCCTTCTTTCTCTCCATTACTGCCTTCATTTCCATTAAATAGATATTTTCTCTTGTATTGTTTTAATTTCCTTATCATTTGTGTTATTATACTTTTTGGAGTTATAGTCTTAGTGATTTCCCTGGGGATTACAATTAATAATTTATAACAACCTAGTTTGTATTAGTATCAAATTAATTTCAATAGTGTATAAAATTTTATTCCTGTATAACTCTATTCCTTACCCTCTCCTTTGTGCTGTTATTGTCATACAAATCACACCTTCATGCACTCTATGCCAATCAACACAGATTTATAATTATTGCTTTATACAGTTGTCTTCTAAATCCAATGGGAGGAAAAACATGTTCTAGTCAAAAATTGTTTTCATTATCTTTTATATTTACCTATGTAATCACTTTCACCACTGCTCTTATTTTGCCATGTGGATTTGAGTTTTTGTCTAGTACCTTTTCATTTCAGTCTAAAGAATTTCTTTTAGGATTTCTTCGATGGCAAGTCTCTGCTTCCTGTAAATTCTTGGTTTTTACTTATGAGGGTATTTCTTAATTTTTCTATCAATTTCAAATTTTTGTTGTTGTTGTTAAATACAGAATTCTTGGTTGGTAACCTCTTCCTCTCCCCAGCTACCTAGCATTTTGAATATGTCATATAAGTGCCTTCTGGCCTCCATGATTCTGAGGACAAAGCCATTAATCTTATTGAGGATTCTTTATATGTGATGCTGCTTTCCATATTCTCTTTGTCTATTTTTGACAGCTTGATTAACATGTGTCCAGCTATGGATTTCTTTGAGTTTATTCTACTTGGAGTTCATTGAGCTTCTTAGATGTGTAGAGTCATCTTTTTCATCAAATTTGGGATTTTTTGGCCATTAATTTTCAAATATTTTTTTCTGTCCATTTTTCTCTCTCCTCTTCTTCTGTGACTTCTATTATGCGTATGCGGACAAATGTGATGGCATCCCACAGGTCTCTGAGGAGCTCTGTTTATTTTTCTTCATTAGTTTTTTCTTTCTGTTCCTCATACCGGATAATCTCAATTGTCTTCAAGTTTACTGTTTTTCCTTCCTGATAAAACCAGTTGTTGAGCTCCCTCCCTCTTTCATTTCAGTTATCATACTTTCCTTTTTGGTTTTTTTTTTATACTTTCTCTTTATTGATATTATCTATTTAATGAGATATTATTGCTATATTTTCCTTTAGTTCTTCAGACATGACTTTCCTTAGTAATTTGAACATATTTTAAATAGCTGATATAAAATTTTTCTCTAGTTAAGTCCAACATCCGGGATTCCTTAGGAACAATGACTATTTAACTACTTTTTACCTGTTTATGAGCTATACTTTCTTGTTTCTTTGAATGTCTCATCCTTTTTCTGTTGAAAACTGGACATTTAAAATAACATAATGTGGCACTTCTGAAAATCATATCCCCTCACTCCTGCCAGGGTTTGTTGTTTTTGTTGGTTTTTGTTGTTTGTTTATTTACTTTCCTGAACTAATTTTGTAAGTCTGTATTCTTTGTCATGTATGGCCACTGAAGTCTCCACTCAGTTAATTTAGTGGTGATCTAATGATTAGACAGGGATTTCTTTAAGTGCTTGTAACCAGTAATTCTCCCAGTCTTTGCTGGAGGGCTTTGGGTGGTGTGGGAACATGCCTTCAACACTCAGCCAAGCAGAAGATGCTCTATCTTAGCCATCACTTCATACTTGCTCAGGGCCTCATGGTCAGTCAGAGGTGAGTGTTTAGGACCTTTCCATTTCTTCCCTTGGCATGTGTACAAGGCTGGGCATGTTCACAGCCCTGTACCAGCATGTAGCCTTCTAGACTCTCAGAGATATTTTGGAGATTTTCAAAGGTTACTATGGACATCTTATTTCCCAGCTGCTTCTTTTAAGTTTTTTTGATTAGTTTGCTGTTTGCCTACCTGCTATTGCTATCTCTAGCAAATACAATGTTAAACAATTGCTGTTGACTGTTTTTGAGAAATGTCCCTAGGGGGAAAGACAGTTTGTACTGAGAAAGCGCCGAATCAGGTAAAGTACTAGCAAACATTGTGAGGGGATTTCCAGGGAACTGCCAGACAGGTCAAATAACAATAATTCTCTGAGAATGAGGTTTTGAAAGAACTACAACTATGTTTTGACCTTTACTGTGTCTGTAAGGCTGCTTGTTTCATCATTGCCTTTATGGAGGGGAGAGTTTTGGGGAGGTTTTTACTCTGGCATTCCATTCTCATTTCCTCCTTTTCATTCCTCTCTCCTTCCTTCCTTCCTTCTTTTTAAAATAATTTATTTGCTGAAAACCCAGGCTGTTTGACTTGTAGAGTTTCCCAAGTTTGGATTTTGCAAGTTCAAAATATTCTTTATCTTCTAAAGTTCAAAGCAATGGCAACTGGATACAAAGACCTGATCTGACTTAGGTTTAATCCCTTTGTAAGACTGTAGATGGTGTTGTGTTCCTTCTATAGGAGGCACTCAAAATTAAATTAAGAGCAGAAATCTCATTCAACCAAGCCTAAACCCTCTTAGTAGGCTATTAGATAAGAAAAACTCAATATGTTGCTTTGTTGGATATAGCATTTTTCTAATGGATCTAAGACCATCCATAACCATAATAATTTTGTAGTATCTCAGTACCATACATTAATTACCTATGAGTACTAGGTTAGTGTTGCCCAGTAATAATCACAAAAGCTAATATTTATACAGTGTTTATTTTGTGCTAGGTACTATTCGACCCCCTCTTACATACTGGGCATATTTTTCATTTGTCTCCTCTTGATCCGTAGTAACATTTCCCTAAGGGCTAGTGATGTTGAACATCTTTTGTTCTTTGTCATTTGTATATTCTCTTTGGTGAAGTGCCTGTTCATGCCTTTTGCCCATTTTCTAATTGGGTGGTTTATTTTCTAATTGATGAGTTTTGAGAGTTCTTTATAAATACTCTATACATGTATATTTTGTCAGATAGGTGGTTTTCAAATATTTTCTCCTAGTATTTAGCTTGTCTTTCCATCTTCTTAACAGCATCTTTCTTTTTCTTAAATTTTATTTATTTATTTTTATTAACTTGGGGGGGGTAATTAGGTTTATTTATTTATGTTTGGAGACAGCACTGGGGACTGAACCCAGGACCTTGTGCATGCTAAGCATGTGCTCTGCCACTTGAACTACATCCTCCCCCCAACAGCATCTTTCTAAGAGCAGAAGTTTTTAATTTTGATGAGGTCCAATTTGTCAGTTTTTTTCTTTGTATTTTTGGTGTCAAGTCTAAGAACCTGTTGCCTAGTCCTAAATCCCAAATATCATGTCCTATTTTTTTCTAAAAATTTATAATTTTATGTTCTACATTAATCTGTCATCCATTTTGGGTTAATTTTTGTATAAGGTGCGTTTTTTTCTTGATGGGCCCAGTACTATTTGTTGAAAAGCCTGTCCTTCCTCCATTGAATTACTATGCTGAAACGATGGCCTTAACTAGCTACACTGGCCTTTCTAGACTTTCAATGTATTTTTCTCTAGTCATAAAGTAACTAGAAAAAAACACATTTCATATATTTTATTTTGAGAGTCAGAGATTTCATTTCTTAGTAGTCTATAGGTTTTAAGAAAGGTTTGAAAGAAGTAGGAGGAAGAATAAAGAAAAGAAAGACAAGAGAGGGCCTGTATTTCAGTTTTGTTTGTTTGTTTTAACTTTTTTTTATTGAGTTATAGTCATTTTACAATGTTGTGTCAAATTCCAGTGTACAGCACAATTTTTCAGTTGTACATGAACATACATATATTCATTGTTTTTTCGCTGTGAGTGTATTTCAGTTTTGATTCCATCATTTCTTCTCCTAGGTTCCCTTGGATTGCTTTCCTACCTGTAAATAGGACCAACAGCCCCTCTTCATAGACTCCTTGTGATAAATAGCATCTCACACAGAAAGCTTCTCCCCAGGTCCTGCTGTAGTGCCCTTCTAGCCCCTGGGGGATAGACAGAAGAGCCAGGCTTCCTCTCCTGGGAATCTGTCTCTCTTCCTAAGACTGCAGGAGGCTGGACTTAGAGGCATATGTAGAGAGCAGCTGGTGAGAGGAGAGCCTGGATTAGCATATCGGATGGAAGGATGAGGGGGGCCATAATGTGCTCCCCACCCCGCCAGCCCCCAACACAGCACACCCGCCCTCCCAGCTCTGGCTCTGGAAAAGATCAGTGACGTAAATGGATTAGGAAAAGCCTGCCTGGCCTCTTCCTGCTGCCACCGCACCTGGAGATTAGTGGGTGGCAGCTTTGTCAGGGGGACAGACATTTAAATGTCAGCTTTAGTTTAAAGGAGCACTTCTAGGAAGAGAAAGGAGAGAAGACCAGCCTTCCTCACCTCCTCCTCCAGCAAATCAGTCCCGTGCTTTCCTGTGAGTCTGCACCTCTTCAAAACACAGGGCTTATTCCGTCTAGCGAGTCTCAGGCAGGTGTTAGTGATCATTAGAGACTGGGCTGGTACTGGCATCAAGTCCAACTCTGGATGTGGCAGCCGAAGAGGAAAAGACATGAATCATGCATTGGACGCAAAAGAGGTTGTTAACCCACTTTCCCAGACAGAGAGGAGAGCAGGCAAGAGACATTCCCCGGGCAAGGAAGCTCTCTGCAACAGCGCATGCCCAGCTCAGAGGGAGCCATTCTCTTGGTTCATTTGTTCATTTATTGACTTAACCCTTAATTGAAGGATTATTTATTTTTTATGTACTTATTCACTGAGAACCAGCCGAGCCCAGCCAGCCACTACCCCAGGGAATATTTCTTTAGCTTCTCTCGTGTGCCTGGCTCTGTGCCCAGCCCTGGGATTGCAAGTGATAAAACATGGGGCTGGTGTGCTGCAGAGGGGGCTGGACCATGCCTGGGCTGGCATGGTGACTGCTAGTCCAGACACGCTCCTGAGCATTACAAGGTCTCTGCCACACGCATGTCTTTGCAGGCATGAGCCTGGCCTCTGTGACTCTGGCCAGTGTCCTGCAGGTCCGGGGCGAAGCTCTGTCTGAGGAGGAAATCTGGTCCCTCTTGTCCCTGGCTGCTGAGCGACTCCTGGAAGACCTTCGTGATGGTAAGAGAGTGTGTCTGGGGCAGCTGAGTCACAGAGAGCTGAACGGGAAGCTTCCTAAACATCTCCGGATGCTGCTTCCCAATCCGTCATCAGTCCGAGATGTTAGAACGAGTAGGCAGAGGACACCCACCCACGGAGCTGCTCTGGGAAGGCAGCGCTGTCTCTGGACCCATGGCAAAGGGCAGAGTTGGAGGAAAGTCTCTGCTTCCGCCTTGGTATTGCAGCTTTTCCTGGGCATTAAATTGATAACTGGAACAAACACTGAGTGCCCAGACTCAGATGTCAACTCAGAAGTCACACGTGCTCGGGGGCTGCCGGGAGGCGGTGGAGGCTCCCCACGCGGGAGATGACACACACGCAGTCAGGGTGAGAGTCCCGACGTGGGGAGCTGAAGGGAGGCTGTGCACCTGCACTCTCAGCTGCATCGTCCTCCTGAGTCTTCACTCCCTCCTTCCTGCCTTGGAGGTTCTGATGAACAGCGATAGTATGTCCAGCAGACCAGCTAACTTGGTTCCTGACTTGGTTCTAGAGAACTCAGACTTGTGCGAATTTCCAGGTGGACCTGACCTCTTTTTACCTTTTACCTTGAGATTCTTGGGTCACCTTTGAATTTGGATGCAGGGGCTAGTTTCCCAGCCACTGCTGCAGCCACCATTCCTGCCAGCAATATGTCAGGGCTGAATTCCCTCTGCTCCCTGTTTCCTCGGTCCTTGCTCACAGTCTATCCCAGAGAAGGTTCTGCAAGACACCTGCTGGGCACAGTCCCATAGATGGCCCTCCAGACGGTGGCTCTGTCTCTATACCCACATCACTGCCTTGGTTTCAGATTCCTCAGACTATGTGGTCTGCCCCTGGTCAGCCTTACTTTCTGCGGCCGGAAGTCTTTCCTTCCAAGACCATATTTCTCATATAGAGGCAGCTCCTTTCAAGGCCCCTGAACTGCTGCAAGGACAGAGTGACGCAGAGCAGCCTGATGCATCTCAGGTAAGGCACGTGGTGTCTCTGCAGCACCTCTGGACCCGTCCTCTGGGGAAGACCTGGTCCTAGGTCGTCCCCAGCTCAGCCCCGAGGAATGGATTTAAAGAATTTTATTCCTAGGCTTTCTTTCCATCAACTTATTACCTCTTAGATGAGGACAAATGAACTTCTCTGAGCCCCAAGTTCTATATCTGTAAAGTGGGGTTAATATGACCTAATCCATCACCTTATTGTAAACATTAAAAAAAAAAAAGTGCTGAAAAAACTGTAGGTCCATGGTCTGGGGCATTAGTACCATGGGCAGTATGGAGCCAAAATCCTAAAACAGACGCCAACAAGTCCTCAACCGGGATATATCGCAAGGCACGAGCAAAGATTGATTTAGCTGCAGCAAAGTTCACTGCTGTATTGTTGACATTAGTGATAAACTGGAAACAAGCTGAATGTCTGGTGAGAGCAGACATGAAATAAGACAGCATTAAAATGAAGCTGTAGAAACGTATGTAATGACTTGAAAAGAAATGAAACGTACGTATGTGCAGTGTGATCCTAGTTGTGTACACACAAACACACACACACACACGCACACACACAGTTCTAAAAACATGTCTGCAGTGATTATTCCTAGGTGGCAACATCCGTGGTGATTTTTGTTTTTCCGTAGTTGTGTTTTGCTTTTGAATAGCACAAAGTTCTGGTTAAACATTCTTTTCAATTTTAAAAAGAAGAAAGTCTAAGGAAAGAAGGATGTCAGCTAGGCACACAGTACTGGGCAGGGCATGGTGGGCGTTTAGAGGTCAGTGAATTCTGTTTCTTTCCCCTTCAAGGGAAAAGTGTGGATCTGGAAAGTCCACTCCTCCCAGGAGGCATCCTGGAACAGGAGCTGCTTTGCCTTTTGGGCTCCGAGAACAGGGCCTCAGCGGCTTACAGGTTTGGTTTGTCTGGACCCGTGTCTGACTGGTTTGTCTCCAAGTCAGATCACGACAGTGACAGCATGACAGTCACCATTGCAGGGGCCAGGGCTCTGTCACCCCACTTGCAATTACCTCAGCACCCATTCCTATACTGTCAAGATCCCTGGGGTGAATCCCTGGACTCCTGTGTTGGACACAGACTTGGGTGCCTCTCAGATTCCCTCTATTTGGGTCTTTTAGATGATGCACCACCCATACCTACACTGTGGACTCGGCTAAGAGGGCACAGCCTGAGCTGCGGGATCTGACTTTCTGAGCAACAGCTAGGCGGTCCTGCTGCTGAAACCTGAACATGCGGGGTGGGGCGGTGCTAGTTTCCTATTGGGTGACCCTAGACTAATGGGAATGAGAGGTGGGAGGGGACTGAGAAGATAAATTCTCCTTTCTCTCTTTTCTCCTTCCTTCCTTCCTTCCTTCCTTCCTTCCTTCCTCCCTCCCTCCCTCCCTCCCTCCCTTTCTTTCTT